CTTATGCTTACAGAGTTTGAACGACGAGACACGTCACAAGATGCAGGGTGAAGGTGTTAAGAGTTGAGAAGGATGAGTATTGTACATCAATAATCAGTAAAAGTGAATGAATTGAAAGATTTAAATTTCAAGAAAGCTAGTGAGTTTGCACTTGCAATCAAAATCCAAGAGCATTTAAAAACAATACCGGGGCATGAGTTGTAAGGGGTGGGGTAGAAAATACATATTAATGTATGTGATTGCTAGAATACACACTCTTAATGTTTGCGGTTGTTGGTGTTATGAGAGTTGTGAATGAGTGGAAGTAATATTAGAGTATAGCATTTTAATTACTGATTTCTCTACTGATTGTATTGTTACGTCTACCTGAATTAGATTAATGAATGTATTTTTTTTATGAAATCGTTTCATGGAAAATCCTCTTACGGAAATGTTCCTGTGTTACTTTGAATGTTTTAATATTATATGGTTGCATCAAATGCATGTCTTTTTCAAAAGGGATGACATTATGTATAGTGCACTTTTGCCCTCTCGAAGGTGCTTACAATATGTAGTGCATTGGAATAGAGTACGTAGTGCAATATGTTATATTTCAAAGAGCACAACATGTTTTTTTGAACCTTGAAAAATATGTTTAGATAATGCATTAAAGTAGACGCACAACCGGTAATGCACATCTAAAAAGGTACAAAAAGTGAAACTTATATATAAGACATCCTTTCAAGGTGTAATGTGATTAATACATAATTCTAGGTACCCTGAACAAGTCCATATGTATAATTGGTAATGAACATATTTAAAAGTAGTGAAATTAAACTCGATCATGTGATACATCCTTTCAAGTATAGTACAATATAGTAACCATGCACATTTTGATACACAATATTGCACTATCATATGACTATATGAGTACTAGTGAACATTTTAATAAAAATACAATTCGTTCATGATATAAATGAAAATTGAAGGATCATTACAAATCCCACATAAGAAAAACAGCAATGAGGATACATACATTACTGACATACACATTTCAATTAAGAATAACAATGTCATCATCTGAATTTAATTGAAATATGCAAAAGGGTTAATCATGTGATATACATACATCCAAACATAATTTGTCACTGAAAGTGCATTATGTAAACAATTTCAGGACACTGTCATGCACAAGTAGAATGCAATATAGTAGCAGTGCACATTCAAATACTTAATAGTGCACATTTAAAAGAGTATTAATATACATTTTAGTAAAAATTCAATTCATTCATGATAAATATGACATTTAAAGTATCACCACAAATTCCACATAAGAGAAACGATGTCATCTAAATCCGAGTGAAACATAAAAAGGGTTAATCGTATTTGCACACAACCAAATATAATATACCACTAGAAGTGTATTATCTAAACAATTTATGGACATCGTCGTCAACAAGTGAGTGCAATCAACTTCTCTGAGTCATACAGAACTTTTCTAAGTCATACACAATTTGTATGTAAATCTTCACTCGAAGGTTCTGCATCATATTCACCTCCTTTAATTTCAGATGATTCGTTGTCATAAGTGAACCGATTACCTAAATCATCCTTATCGCAAATTGGAGTGCACCTAGACAATTGTTAAAATATTATTAGATGTTTACATACATTTACAGACGTATCGAAGTAAAAGTGCATTACATACCACATTTGTGAGTATAGTAATACCAATGGGGTGCACTAAACAAAATCAATATGAAATTTACTAATAGTAAACTACAATTGCATTAGGTACACCATTAGTATGCATCATCATCATCCAAATTGGAGTGCACCAGCGCAATTTCTTAACTAAGTTCTCAGTGATAAAATTACCAGAATTTTGCATACACTCAACCATAGTAATAGAAGAAACAAACACATCAGCCATTAAGTTCTTAGAATTATATAGACCCATTAAATCACAAACAATAAAAAAACGAAGATGACATAAAGTTTGTAGACGAAACGAATAGAAAACAAAGAACAAAGGATTGATGCTAATTGATATCCATGGTAGGATTGTGTATCAGAACCACAGAATTGCTGGACTAAGTTCTCAGGAATAAAAATACCAGAATTTTACCTACACTCGTCCCATAGAAACAGAAAAAACGAACACATCAGCCATTAAATCTTTGCAATTATACAGACCCATTAAATCATAAACAATAACAAAAACGAAGAGGACATAAAGTATGTCCTGAATTTTCATGAAAACAAAACAACAAATGAAACCAAAAAAATAGTAGAACAAACGAAAGAAGAGTAAAAAACAGACCCTTTATCCATTAATGGAGCTTCAGAGTTCTTGGGGAAGAAGAGGTAGTCAGAAAGTCGAGTCCCTCGTACATGAACTGATTTCACGTAGATGAAATGTCACTCGTAACTGAAAAGGAAAGGAATTAAAGGTTTATTAAATTGAAAAAAAATAATGGAAAGATATGTACAAGGAAAGGAAGCTACGTACAAAAGGGAAGAAAAATTGAAAAGACCATCTTGGCCTGCGCACACACACGTGAGAATCTGAGAAAATGAGTTGATCTAATGGTCAAGATTGTTTCTTATTTATCTCATTAGATGGTGTTCTTATTCGAACCAAACTATATATATATATATATATATATATATATATATATATATATAATGCTTCACAACAGCCACATTTGTTAAACAAATTTACAACAGACTCCAAGTACTAGGGCAGAGCAGGGGTCGGGTTCGGGCGGGTCAGGTTCAAAAATCGTAAACCTGTTTGGGTATCGGATTGATAATTTAAAACCCTACCCGATCAAAAAATTTATCAGGTTTTTCGGGTTGAAGAAGTTCGGGTTTCGGTCGGGTTGGTTCGGTTTTCGGGTCCATTCGGATTTTAATTTATTATTGTTGAAATTGTGATAAATAAAATGGTAATTGGTAAAAATATCATTCAAAGTTATACTAGTATAACATTCAAAGTAATAGTTGTATAAATACGGTAATCGACATATTAGAACATGTAAAATAATAATATACGGTGATTGGCATTTTTGATATTGTGATAAATAAAATGATAACTGGTCAAAATATCATTCAAAATCATAACAATACAACATTCAAAGTTATAGTTTTACAAATACGTTAATTGGAATATTTGATATGCATAATATGGTAATTGACATACAATAATTGAGATATTTGAACATGCGTAATAATTCAAAGTAGTATATATACTACCCTAGTTCAGGTTTTCGGGCGGGTCGGGTAATAACCCTACCCGCTACCCGCTTAACGCTCGGGTTGCAAAAATCGGATCGGGTTAAGGTCATTCGGGTCGGGTTATCCGACCCAAAAAATAAAATCGGATATATCCAATCAAGTCAATCGGGTAGGGTCGGGTTTGCTCTCCCCTAACTCCAACTATATGTGCCAAATGGTAAATAAGCAAAGTACATGAGTTAATTCGAACATACAAGGGATGGGAGCGACGTTTAGTATCAGTTTAGGAACATGATTAGAGTAAAATACACTTGTAAGTTTTTAGGAGCAGTCTTATCAGAAATCCTTATCACAGAACATTAATTTGGGTAGAGTTTTTCTTTTTCTTCTTCAGGATTAGTTTAGTATTGATAAATCAGTTTAATACAATTGCAAAAGGAAATGGGATGCATTACCTCATTCACTTAAGGAAATGCATATTAAGAATAAAACTAACTATTTTGTACATTAGTTACCTCATTTTAATATAGTCTCAGTTGAGACAAAAAAAAATTTATTCTAGTTGAGATCAGTTTATACATAACTTTTACCATTGGAGTAGCTCCAATTGAGCTTCGGAAGCTGAATTCCACATGCACTATTTGGATTTTCAAATGCCTCCCTATCATAAACATTATAATTTGATAAACACAAAATTTAAACAAAGTCTAGCCTTTTTCGTTTCCATTGCTTTAGATTTAACTAATAAATCTTAATCACATATCACATAATTTGTTTTGAATTTTGAGTATGATATATCTATTTGACCAAGAAAAGCACATAGATCATACTCAAACTGTTACGTACGAGCAGTGTAATTGACCGTAAAAGAGCAAAAATCGAAACATCAAGTCATAGATTAACAGATATATGTAAGTTTAAATCAAAGATCTTTTTGTGTAAATTACCCAATTTATACTCCATAGTCCATATACATCAATAATTTTGATTTGAAACTATCTCGTTTCATTTCGGCCGTTTGAGAGTGATTACAAGAGGATTATGTGGGATTTACAAATCAACTAATTTCATACAAACCATCTAAATAAGGCTAGATATCACATCAAAATATGGTAGACTATTAGTACAAAACTAAATATAATAAAAAATAATAAATATTGACATATTTAAAAAAAAATTAATAACAATTTCAACCGATTTGAACTGAACTTAAGTAACTCATACTCATATAAAGTTTTGCTTTATTTATCATCCCCCCAACTCCCAACCGCTTCCATTTTTTTGTCTAAAAATTGTTTGCCTCTTTTGTTCTACCCACCCAAGGAGATGGATGACATCAGGCAAATAAAAAAAACTTCCATGATTCAAACATATCATCCATTTTCAGATACACGAGCTAGCAAAGAATGTGTTTAAAAGAGCACGTCCACAGCTCCAACAAATCATCTGGGCAGCACAAAATTCTTGAAACAGAAAATATATGACTCCGTAAACTACCTGTCCATCTGCCACTGGATCAAATGACAGCATCTCTCATTCATTCCTTTTAACACAACTATCATTCTTCTCATACGGCATTTATCATTCTTTTCATCTCACTACACCTCATAGGATCTGGCTCATCGATCGCCCTCTCTGTGGGCACGTGTTTGATTCGGCATATAGACTTTCTTACCTTGGAGATACATTCTGGATTTGGAAATCTCAAGTTTTGAGCATTAAGCAATTGACGTTGAGCCTTGAGAAGTACATACCATAGTTTGTGAAGATCATCCAAGGACTTGAGACGAAGCTCAGATGCCTTCCAGCTCCGACCATACACAACAGGTTTATCATCCTCCACACTTCTATGAGCTTCAAAGAACTGCTCGAGAGGGTTATGAATTGCTCTTCTAGCTGAAGTACCAGCATCCCAAGTAGTCTCGCATTTGGCAGCAGCTAAGAATGTCCTCATAAAGAGTCAAGCCGCAGCCCGCAAGCATAGTTGCAAATAGGTTATATCACCAAAGAAGTGAAAATGAAGGCTTTCTGAATATTGCAATCCGCTAGGGTAAGACCGTCTTCTAGCTGCTTCCCGGAAAAAAAAATCAGAAGGGTAAGGCCAAAATAGAAGGGCGGTGATGGGGCCAAAATCCGCTCCAGGGAATCGAACCCAACCCCTTCCATTTTAAAGTTTTACATACCACCAAAAAAAAAAAAAATAAATAAACTGAAAAGACCAATGTTTAAAATAAACAAATACGGAGTACTATTCTAAAAGGGCATTAAACAAAGATATGCCCTTACAACTAAGGAAATTGAAAAAGTCAAAACTAATTATAGTACTAAGCAAAGCGTACTCCTATGGGGCTGGGGCAATCCAACATCTCCACAGTGGCGTTTTTCCTGCAAGTAAAAGGTGTATACGAAATATTATATGTTTTGAAACAAAGAAAAAAGGTTGAGGTAAAGAATGAATAGGATTTGCAACGACATATATTAGCAGATCTGAAACAGCAGTGAAAGAAGCAAACGGCTCTAAGCCACAATAAAGAATAAAAGTTTCAATAAAAAAACATTCAAGGGGAGAACCAACTACAATAGCTATAGTACATTTGCCAACGAGTGGGTAGTGCCCTGATTCTTCTAGTACACTAGCACTTCCAGAATCACAACAAGTAGGTAGTTACGTACTTCCCTTTTACTAGTACACAGGCAGCTGAAGCTTTCCTCTTCTCATTCCTTGCTTTCTTCCCACCCCCTTCCCTACAGCCCCTAATACAAATAAGGAAACATCTTCTTTAACTGTGGCGAAGCTTTGAACTTCAGTCCGTGTGCACCTTAGTTTTAAAAGGCGCGAGGCGGCATGAGGCGTTTCCAAGATTTACCCGAGGCGCGAGGCGCAAGGCGATGAGGCGTGCGCCTCACGGATCTAGTCTTCTACATAAAGCACTCATCTCAAAAAGTGATAGCATCACAAAAAATACTTCAAACTATTTAACACTCTTAATAAACATCATAAGAGAAACCAAATATTTATTAAGACAGTTGCATGAAATAAAAAATTAAATGGCATCATTTCCAAAAGTCATGTCACAAAACTCGATCTTAAAACTTCAAAACATAATTAATAAACTGTTATATGAAAAAAAAAAAAAACTGTCTTATATACTACTACCTCCGTCCCATTTTATGTGTCTTAGTTTGATTTGTCACGGTTATTAATGATGTGGTTGAAAAAGTAAAAGTTGTGGTTGACGCTTGAGTATAATAAAGTGAAATGGTGTGAACCATATATTTCTTTCCAAAAAAGGAAAGGAGACACTTATTTTGGGACAGCCCAAAAAGGAAAGTAGGACTGGTAAAATGGGACGGAGGGAGTACTACGTATGTATTTGTTAAACAAAAACAACATTTAGGTACCCTACTCAGCTTGATCTAGAACAGACCCACAGAGGTAGTAACTCTGCAATTTCAAGGTAATAAAATACGAGTATAAATAATACATAACATAAGGAGTACTTCAATCAATAAACTATCACACGCATTAGAAGAGAAGTAAATACTTACCTGCGACTACTCTGCAAGTCCTGCGACACAAGACAGCAGCGGAAAACAGGACTTGCGAGCCCTGCTACGCGAGCAAGAAACAGCTACCGCAGATGTCGGAACTCAGAAGCAAAACAAACGCAGGAAGAAGGGAGAAGACTATAAAGACTGAATCGCCAAAAGACACATCCCTAAGGCGTGAGAAGCGTACGCCTCTCAGATGTGCAAAAGGCGTCAAAAAGCGCCGTATAATGTGCGACTCTTGGAACCTATGCCGCCTGGGGGTGTAAGATGCGATAAAGTGCTCGCCTTAGAGAGCCTAGCGCATTTTTGCGCCTCAGGCGCGCTTTTTTAAACCAAGGTGTGCACCATTCCCACTCATTTGTAATATATAGTATACCCCCATAGAACCACCTAGTCATACCCACATTTTGCATCTTACTATAGATATCCCTAAGGTAATAGACAGAAGGGCAAAATTCTAAATTCTACCTTCAAATTCTAAATTATAAATTCTAATTTATCCCTAAGGTAACAGTGAATTGGGAAACTTATAAATCAAGGACTTCTTTTTGACGAAACTTAAAACTAAAATCAAAACCAGAACAAGAGATGTTATATTAAGTGACTTCAACATCACTTCGGAAGAGAAATGTTGTACTGCAATTGAGCAGTAATTTACTGCGCCCCAGTTCTAATTAATATTAAGTTCAAACTATCTAAGTTGATTATATGAAGCATAATTAGTTAAACTTTTACTGCAATCAAGTACATATGTTGTAAGCAAAAAATTCATTAATACTTGAGAACTAATACCTAAAGAAGCAGACCTTATCAAGCATATATACTCTCATTGATAAGAATTAATATTGAGCCACATAAAATGAAAAGTAAATATACGGGACCTAAAGTTATTTTATTAAAAAATGCATAAAAACGCATTGATTTTTCACATGGCTTCAAAATTTAGAACCCCTTTATATGCTTTTAACAACGACGAGAAGACTCATATATGGGACCGAAAGTTATTTCAAAGTTGGGATATTGAATTACTTCTTAAAGCCAGATAGTATCTTGTTCTTTGAAGCCAGTAGGGGCTTTTAGAGAGTGTCTTTCTCCCATCTTCCTCGTCGGCTCACAACTCCTGCTAGGGCATAGAGGACCTGGGGGCTGGGGGAAATGCCCCTGCTTCCAATCCCAAATTTAGTATTAGTACTTATCTGGCAAAAAGATAAGTGGAGACCATTAGATAAAGTAGTAATTCGGTCAAAGAGCAGATAACAATTATTGTGAGATATGTGGATGACCACGGAGTTAAGTATGAATTTCATGATAATAGTAAATGTTCCCAAATCAAGTAAACATAGGGTATCATGTTGGTTTTATATTCTTTATGTCATTTTTATTTACAAGATCACCACTTGACGAAGTACAAGTATACATCGTCAAGAGTAATAACACTCATTAACATCAACAACTCTGGGTAGTACTGAGTCCTCCGACTGCAGTAGTAGGAATAACTAAGTAGTTATAGTGACTATGGTAGTAATTAATATTCCAAAGCTTTTATTAGTAAGTGGAGTTTGATCATTAGTTGATAGGGACATAGACAACCAATAATAATAAGAATAACAGAGTATTATTAATAGAGTGTTATTGTATAAATTAATGTTTTGGGCCATGTAATTCATGAAATATGGGCCAGCCCTTAGGAAGAGAAATGATATAAAAGGGGGAAGGAGGGAGGAAGAAGGTAGGCAGATTTTCAGTTGTAATTAGTGATCACTCACCTTTTAGGATGAACTCAGGGGGGCACAATTCTTCTCAAAGATTGATTTACGTTTTGGCTACTTCCAAATTCTGATGACTCCATGTTAGGGACAGACCTATTAGGGTATTAAATAAAAGAGTTGGTGTAGTTATATTTCTGTTTGAGATAATAACTACATTCTGTTGGTGGGATACTATAAATAGATGTAAAGTCAGAATAGAGGGAGGCTATTTTGACTGTTTAGTATTTTCTGGGAAGATTGAGAATTATCTCTCTCTTGGGGCTTCGGCCATTGTTACTGAGCTTCTTCATCAATAAAGTTTACAGTTCTTGTTCTTGAAATTTTCTTTGATAATATTTTGTAAATTTTCTCAATACCTAGACAGTTCTATCAGTGGTATCAGAGCATCGTCGATCTTTGTGGATGGTCTGGACAAGAACGAAGATGGATATACGAATGAACGAACTGGAAGAGAAAGTAGACAGAAATCAACAACAGACCACGGAGATGTTAGCAGAGATGCAGGCGACTCTTCTCGCCAGATTGGACGCTCGAGCGCAAGATCGATCGCGAAGTAGATCGAAAGCTTCAACCGCTTCGCATCGCACTTTGCACAACCATCAATCACGCCATTCACGAAAATCAACTCACTCTGGAGATTCGGGAGAAAACTCAGACTATGAACCTACGCATCACCATCAGCACCACCATCGGGAGCGTCAGTCACAACATGAACTAAAATCAGTGAGTTCAAATGACTCGGAAGGGAACAACCACTACTCACCACCACATCACCATCATCACCGACACAGAGAATATAGTCACCACCACCACCATCGAACAGGGAGGAAAATTGATTTACCGTTATTCAACGGTGAAGATGCTTATGGGTGGTTAATCAGAATTGATCGTTATTTTCGTCTTAATCATATCGAAGAGGATGATAAGGTAAACGTAGCGGTGGTAGCTATGGAGGACAAAGCCCTTAGCTGGTTCCAAGGATGGGAGAACCAAACGCGTGAGAGGAATTGGGGAACTTTGAAGGCAGCTTTAACTAGGCGATTTCAACCAGAATTGGTTCAGAACCCTCTGGGACCTTTATTAGGTCTTAAGCAGGAAGGTAACTAAGGGAATTTTCTTGAATGGATTGAAGAAGGACATTAGAGCTGAGTTGAAGCTTTATTGTGCGAGGAATGAGCAAAGATGAATATCTTGATTGATAGTGGTGCTACCCACAACTTTATATCCCAACAATTTGTAGAAAGATGGAAGATACCTTTCCAAAGTATCAAGGGATATAAGGTACAAATAGGGAATGGAGACTTGATCTCTAACTATGGTAGATGTGAAGGGATGAAACTGAATGTGCAGGGCAATGAAATTCAACAGAAATTTTATATGTTGGAGCTAGGTGGGACTGACATGGTGTTGGGAATGGAATGGTTGATTGATCTAGGTGATATGGAAGTTAATTTCCAAAACCAGATCATAAAATGGAAGAAACAAGGGTTGAATCACATTATTCAAGGAGATGGATATTTGTGGCACAAGGAGGGACAAAGTAATAAGCAGAAGCAAGAGCAGATAATTGAAGGCAGAAGGAATCTATATATATTAAAACGCTTAAGTCACGTTCCCGCCTACTGACTAGGGATATTTACGTAATTACAGCTAAACTTTCTATTCTTCCGATTTACCCTAGCGTATTCTTTCAAGTTCGGGGAAATTAGGGCTCTAGAACAGACCTTCCGCTACACTTCTCGCTGAAGTTGGCCTCTCAATTGGAGCTCTGTTATCATCAAACGAATTCAGATTTTAGGGCTCGAGCACAAACCTTGCGCTAGACTTCTTGCTGAACTGGACTCTCAATTGGAGCTCTGTTATCATCAAACGAATTCAGATATATTCGACTTGATCCAACTCCAAAGAGTCCATCAACTCCAAATTTCTCGATATTGGTGAGTATTCGTAGACAAAATATTGGTCATCCGGAAGCAGTCTCTCTGTGCTTCAGTACAGAGGTAAGACTGCGTACATCCAACCCCCCTTACCCCACCGTGGGTGGGAGCCTTTGCGGCACTGGGGTAAATGAAAATGAGTGATTTCATGCTTTTCATTTTAAAAGTTCAATGAACGGTCTTCATGCCCTTTCTTAATTAAATTACTTTCACACTCCGTACTATCTGATTAAAGATATCTTAGCAAAGATGATGTTGTTTTAATGGAGTTATTTTGTGAAAATTGTAGTTGCAGGCTTGCAGCTACGAGGACTCTAAATAGTACTCCGTATTAGTATTGTTATGTGTTTTTCTCATACTATGTGAAAAATATTTCCACACAGTATACCCTGCAGCTATAGTTGAACCCCTTAGATTTTATAAAAGAGTTGTCATGTTGATTGTTTAACCACTGAGGTATTCAATAATTTGTGGGAATCTAATTAATACATGGTTTTGTCTGATCAAATCCACCTTATTTCATTACTTCCACATTAGTTCTGTCACTTTCTTTCATCAATATAATTGATTTATTATATCTGTGATTTATTATAATTGGTTTATAAAATGTAATTATCTCCATGTATGTTTTCTGGAGTTTTAGTCTCCTTTGTTGATACAATTTTATCAGGTTTTGTGTTCTTTGAACATGCACTTTTTATATTGGATCCCACCAAAAGTTGCAAGTATCTGGTGGATTTTTTAAGGACCAAAATACCTACTCTGGGACAGCCTTCCTAAAGCTGTAACGCACTCCCAGTTTTAGATGCTTTTAATATAAACTACATGAGATCTAATAGAATCCCAACAATGAAGATTAGGCAGTCCTCTAAGCTGACTGATATTCTAAAATAAGAATGTCATAACTATGACATTCTACTAACAACTCTTATTATTTTCTTATTTTTCTGTTCTAAGGAGAGAATTCTTTGCTTCAGAATACATTGCTAACACATTCAAAACCATCATTCTAAGTCTTTTTTTGAAAGTGAAAGTCTTATTCCTAATCAGTAAGCATAGCTTTAACTATACCTCATATTCTTATATTTATGGTGTAAAGTATATGTGTCAATTCCTATATTTATGGTGTAAAGTAAATGTGTCAATCAAAGAAATTGGTCATATGGAGGGTTTGTTTGCCTTTTAATCCTACCGATAAACTGTCATTTTTTTCTTTTCTATACATTACTTGATTATCGTAATGGAAAAAACTGAAAAGAATCTTCTTTTTTAGTTATTCCTTTAATTATGATAAGTAATGAGAACTAATAGTTTAATTTGAGGGGTGAAAATACATGGTTATACAGTTTAATTTAGTTTACATATATGTTTATTATAAAGTAAAGTTTTTTCCCTTTATAAAATCCAGTTTAAAACAAATAGAAAGTTGATAGTAGTGAAACACGAAAAGAAGCTCCTCAATGAAGCAAAATTTAACAAACACCAGCAGCCACTTAAAGCTATAGACAACTCAAAGAAGAGAAAATTTCAGCAATGTCAAATAGTAGGAGAAGACTAAAATACTTCACCCTTTTAGCTCAAGCTCTCATGGTTAGCATTCTAGGTCAGGAGTCCATCAAAAGCTACTATTTGAAACGGTATGGTATGGTAATCGTTTGAGATATGTTTGCATTAATTCAAGTATTCATATATCAAGAAAATTAGTAGTGTAGTACAAACCAAATGCCTATGCAATGTCATGAATATATCGATTTTAAGAATGTGAAAAAATCCCTTGAAATAAAAACAAAGTGGGTGGGATATCTTACATCTATATATTATTAAGTGAACCAAGTCTTTTCCCCGCTAATGTTTAAGGACATTTATGTAATCTCCGCAAACGCAGTTGGGTTTTCTTCTTTCCAGTGCATTACAATTGTTTCTAACATTTTCTTCAGTTCTTCACCTTTCTTTTCCTCTCCTTCATTCCTACTAAATCTGGACTCTGAACTATGGCGTAGTATTTTTGATAACTTTCTCTTCTTTGAGTTGTCAATAGCTTTAAGTGGCTGCTGGTGTTTGTTAAAATTTTATCTTCTTTACTTGAAAATTACACAACCTGCTTATCTATAATTTCGACTTTATTTCTCTCTGGCAGCCGGATGCTTGCCAATCCAGGAGAGATCAACAGGCATGGAGAAGGAGTAGCAAAGGCCAAACACTTCGGCCTTCTGATTTACTCGGAAGCGAGAAAGATTACAGAAGTGAACAGGACCAGTAGGGGATAGTTTGATCAAGGACCGGGGAGACTGGAGGCAAGACTTATCTTCAAAGCAAGAAACGAACTTGGAGAATAATAAAACCCTTGTATAATATGAATTCAATAACTTTCCCTTTCTGCTTCCTCTTTCTTTCCTGTTCCTTCTCTCTACTCTTTCACTCATACCCGTTTCCCTTTCCCCCTTTCTTCTCCTCCGCTGCTCCTAATAGAAATAAGGAAACAGCTTCCTTAATTGTGGTGAAGCTTTGAACTTCAGTCTGTGTGCCCCATTCCCACTCATTTGTAATATACAGTATACCCCCATAGAACCACATTTATCAACGCTTGAGCAGCTGAGCTACGTCAAAATGCAACCCTAGCAATCGTTTTCCACTCACCAGTTCAAAATAATACCTATGAGACACCATACAGGCAAAGGGAAGTGAAACTGATGGACCAATAAACAGCCAAAGAGAAATTAACATACTTCAGAATTGTACTAGTAACCAGCTTTAAAAAGGGTATTTGTAATTTGTAATTTAAATGATTGACAGAGTAATTTGTAATTTAAAAAGGCTGCCGGACAGATGATAGAACTTGGATATAATCTAATTCAAACCTGATCAAAAAAGAACTTGGATATCCTTCCAATCCTTATCTTCAAAGCAAATGGCCATAAAAGTAGAAGTCTTGAGGCAAAAAAGAACTCTCTCCCTTCCTTTCCCGTTTCCCCTTTCTTCTTCTCTTTCCCGGATTCCCCTCGATTCCACTCTCCTCTGAGGCTATTATTATTATATTATATATCTCAACACAAAAACATGAGTTTACAGAAGACTAAATTTCTAGTTTCAAATGTAACTGAGGCCTGGATCTTCACAATAGTAGATGAAGTGAAAATAACATACTTTAGAATTGCTGAAGTTGGCCCTTGGAACCAGCTGGCATTAAGAAAAGCTTCAGCTGCCAGTGTTCTTATTTCCTTTGACAGAGCAATTTCTAGTTTAAAAAGGGTGCCTGACAGATGATGAAACATAAGTTATTCAATGTAACTGGAGGCACGAACTATCTTCAAAGCAGGAAACGAACTTGGAGAATGATAAAACCCTTGTACAAGTTATTATGAAATTCAATGAAACCCGATTCTTTTATTAAATACTTAAACCTAGTCATCTTAGCCTTTTACCCGATTCTTTTACCCTTTCCAGATGCTTTTGAAATGGTTCATGGTCTTGAACAAGATGAGGTCAATTCTCTTAAAGAGATGTCGGAAAACAAGCAAAGGACACAACAGGAGATGCAGATGCCAAGAGATTCTAACTTTTGCAGCACCAGGGAGCATTTTTCCACCAAGATATTGTTTCTGCTCCTTACAGTGAAGAACTGTAAGCTGCAGCAGTTGGCAACTGTGGCTGGTGACATACTAATTGGGAGGGAGAAAATACAGAAGGTTTTGCTTGCCGGGCTGATTGAGATTGGGGTCATGTGGCGGCATGATGAGCAAGAATTTTGGGGTGTTCTAGAGGATAGTTCTGCTCCTCTTACACAACATGGATTGCAGCATATAATGCTGGAAATGCACTACACCGTAGAGATAGCACGGGTTGCTGGATACCCTTCCAGGATAGTGCATCAAATAGCATCGGATATAATGTCTCGGGTGACCAGGACATATTCGGTTAGGGGCATTGTACCAAGTGCTTTACCAAATGATGACTGGTTTATAGAAACAGCAAAAGGAGCAATAAACAAGCTTCTTTTGGGTGGGAAATCCGGGAGGTACTGGGAAGGAAGAGGTTCCAAGATGAAGAGGAAGTTCAAAATCAAGGCTGTGTCCTATCACCCACCTTGAGGACAAGGTGGTTGTTTAGGGGGGAGTAATGTTAGGCATCAGCCTAATCAGTAGTCTTAAATAAGGGGGTTAGGGGAGTTAAATAGCTTATTAAGTGTCTATAGCTTATTTAGTTGTCTATTTAGTCCCTGCGTGGACTTTTGGCTATAAATAGAAGCTGGGATAGCCTTAATAGGTAGACTGTTATTTTGAGAACTGTTGCCTTGTCCCCTAAGAGTCCCGGTTGCCTAAGAAGTCCCTGTACTGCCTACGGATTACCTATTTCATCAATAAACATCTATTTCCATCTCTGTTCATCAGATCTGTGTGTTCGTTTACTGTTTTAGCTTTGATTTGTGTCTGTGCCCTAACACTGAGTCCTCCGACTGCCGTAGTAGGAATAACTAAGTAGTTATAGTGACTATGGTAATAATTAACATTCCAAAGCTTTTATTAGTCAGTGGAGTTTGATCATTATTTGATAGGGACATAGACAACCAATAATAATAAGAATAACAGAGTATTATTAATAGTGTTATTGTATAAGTTAATGTTTTGGGCCATGTAATTCAAGAAATATGGACCAGTGGCCAGCCCTTAAGAAGAGAAATGATATAAAAGGGGGAAGGAGGAAGAAGGTAGCCAGAATTTCAGTTGGAATTAGGCTGGGAGAGTGAGGCTCTCTTGAAGAGCCTCAACCCTGTAATTTTCAGTTTACGTTGATCTCTCGTTTCTACCATTGTAATCACTACTGTCTTCTTAGTTTTTTAATCAATATAATACTAAAACTCTGCTGCGTTGTTGAGGTCCCTAACATTGGTATCAAAATCGTTGTCCCTGGGAAGCTTCGATCTAAGTCACACGATAAAAAAAATGGAGCAGCGTAGGGAACGTCGAAGGTCAGTTGCCCCTGGTTTGCACGCGAACACTGAGAAGCGTGTGTCGCAGGGAACATGGAAGATCTGATCAGGATGCTTCGCGCGGAAAAGGGGAGAAGCTAGCGAAAAAGGTTGAGCGCGGAAAAGTGGAGAAGCTGGCGGAAAAGTGATTGGGGGAAGGATATGCGAATCTGGTTGAAAAAGATGCGCGAACTTTCGCGTCGCCGGAGACCTACAGGCCAAGTGAGGAGCCCTCCTAGACTCCGTCGGCCAACTGAAAATCAGATGTCATCCCAAGTCACTTCAACTTCATCCCTAACAGAACTCCTTAGTTCACAGGTGACCTCGAATGCGCTGATTTCGTCACCAGCAGAAGATCCTTGTTCGCAGAATCCTTCTCAAACTGCTTCTCACCTTGCGCAAGTCTCTTCGAAATCGCAGAATTCTTCTCTGAGTTTGCAGGATGGTCTCAACATATGGACACAACACCCCAACTCTCTGTCTACCCACTCCCTCTACAGGAACCAGTACTAAAATTTGGGAACTAATTACCCAAAGACAGCAAAAAAGACAGGAGCTCAAAGAAAATTTTAAGCTGGCACAAGAAAGAATGAAACTTTATGCAGACACACACGGGTAGACAGAGAATTTGCAATAGGGGATCAAGTATATCTGAAGTTACAACCTTACCGACAAAATTCAATTCAACGCAGAAATCAGAAACTATCAGCTCACTACTATGGTCCGTACACTGTTTTGGTAAGGGTGGGGAAAGTGGCTTACCATGTCTCCTTACTGAAGCGTTGCATCAGTTCCCACGCAGTAGTGGCATCACAACTCCCAGAGGTTAACCAAGATGATAACTCTGCTCCTCTGCCAACCCCAGCAAGAGCTAGTAAGAATGCTGAAAGGGCCAGTGTGTCGCCCGCTTTGTTTCCGTCACATGAAAAAAAGGAAGAATCCACTGCCAGTTGCTCGACTTCAGCCAACTACGGGAATTCCATACCACCTACCAATCCTTGAGGACAAGGATTTTCTCAAGAGGGGAGAATTGTCATATATGGTCGTGATTTACTTGTTATTTTTAGTTGGGCCTCTAAAAGACTCCTGATAGCTAAATTATTAATAGAACTATAATGTAATAAACATAAATTCAGTTTTTTAGTATTAGCAAGTGGGTTGTTATGCAGGGGTCCCCACCCCCATTCCTACAAATACGGTTAGAGCAAATAGGGAAAGGGACAAAAATTGCAGACTATCTCTCCTCCCAATCTCTTTGTCTCCTTCGTTCTCTCTTTTCTTCCATATCTGGTAATTTCTAATTCTAAAATATCACTACATCAATAATTAAGCAGATAACATCACACTATAGTACATTTGCCAACGAGTAGGTAGTGCCCTGATTCTTCTAGTACACTAGCAGTTCCAGCATTACAACAAGTAGGTAGTTACCCACCTCCGTTTTACTACTACACAGGCAGCTGAAGCTTTCCTCTTCTCATTCCTTGCTTCCATCCCGCCCCCCTTCCCTACAGCCCCTAATACAAATAAGGAAGCATCTTCTTCAACTGTGGCGAAGCTTTGAACTTCAGTCTGTGTGCACCATTCCCACTCATTTGTAATCCCTAAGGTAATAGAAAGAAGGGCACAATTCTAAATTCTACTTTCAAATTTATCAACGTTTGAGCAGCTGAGCTACGTCAAAACGCAAATCTGGCAATCGTTTTCCACTCACCAGTGAACTTCAGCATAAGGACGACATAATCACCTTCAAAATGATGATATTATTCAATCCACGGGATATCCACCCGATAATCCAGAAGGGGCGAAAAGGGTTGATTCAGATTCCAGCTCGAATTCAAAACCTGTGTTACTTGAAGAGATAAGTCTTACTGATGGACCAAAAAATATGACACATCAAGTAAAAAAAATAATGACAATTGAAAATGTTGCTCTGAATTTCCAAGGAAAGGTGTGTTATAGCCTTAGACAGGGTTGTATTGATAACTGATGCAAAGGAAAAGGGTGAAAGGAGATCTGAAGAAACGATCATTTAAAGTGAAGGATCATCTGGGCTCATCAAATCGAGATCTCTGGGAGATATTGGAATACCATGTGTTTGTGATAAGGAAAACAGAGATCTCAATTCTTTTATCGTACTGACAAACCCTGAACAGTCTCAAATTTATGAGAACGATCATAAATGAGTGTGGATAAATCTAAGATGGATACTTTGTATGGGAATTGTAACTTCCCAGGCAGTTTCTCAAAGCTAAGATTGGATGGGAATTAAGGTGGCCTCTGATTGATCGTCAAGCTCAATTGTATTTAACAGAAGACACTGGTGTTGAGAGAAAATTGCTAGCAGGATAAATCTCGACTCATTTTCGTTTTCATGATGACTATGAAAAGTCACATGTGTAGATAAACAGCGAACATGAGTAATACCTATGAGGCTATTATCATACATCTCAACACAAAAACACGAGTTTGCAGAAGAAACTCTATAGTAGATGAAGTGAAAATAATTAGAATTGCTGAAGTTGGCCCATGGTACCAGCTGGCATTAATAATAATAACTTAATTATTATTATTAATTAATATTATTTAATTGTCTTAATTTTCTATTTCTTTCTTTCACTTTCCCTCTCTCTTCCTCTCGACTCTTCTCCCCGTCTTCCCCCATTCTTCTCCCCTTTCCCCCCTTTTCTTCCCCCCCTCGACTCCCCCATACTGCTCCAACGAATCATCTGGGCAGCACAAAATTCTTGAAACAGAAAATATATGACTCCGTAAACTACCTGTCCATCTGCCACTGGATCAAATGACAGCATCTCTCATTCATTCCTTTTAACACAACTATCATTCTTCTCATACGACATTTATCATTCTTTTCATCTCACACTACACCTCATAGGATCTGGCTCATCGATCGCCCTCTCTGTGAGCACGTGTTTGATTCGGCATATAGACTTTCTTACCTTGGAGATACATTCTGGATTTGGAAATCTCAAGTTTTGAGCATTAAGCATTTGACGTTGAGCCTTGAGAAGTACATACCATAGTTTGTGAAGATCATCCCAGGAACTGCTCGAGAGGGTTATGAATTGCTCTTCTAGCTGAAGTACAAGCATCCCAAGTAGTCTCACATTTGGCAGCAGCTAAGAATGTCCTCATAAAGAGTCAAGCCGCAGCCCGCAAGCATAGTTGCAAATAGGTTATATCACCAAAGAAGTGAAAATGAAGGCTTTCTGAATATTGCAATCCGCTAGGGTAAGACCGTCTTCTAGCTGCTTCCCGAAAAAAAAAATCAGAAGGGTAAGGCCAAAATAGAAGGGCGGTGATGGGGCTAAAATCCGCTCCAGGGAATCGAACCCAACCCCTTCCATTTTAAAGTTTTACATACCACCAAATAAAAAAAAAAAACTGAAAAGACCAATGTTTAAAATAAACAAATACGGAGTACTATTCTAAAAGGGCATTAAACAAAGATATGCCCTTACAACTAAGGAAATTGAAAAAGTCACAACTAATTATAGTACTAACCAAAGCGTACTCCTATGGGGCTGGGGCAATCCAACATCTCCACACTGCGTTTTTCCTGCAAGTAAAAGCTGTATACGAAATATTATATGTTTTGAAACAAAGAAAAAAGGTTGAGGTAAAGAATGAATAGGATTTGCAACAACGACATATATTAGCAGATCTGAAACAGCAGTGAAAGAAGCAAACGGCTCTAAGCCACAATAAAGAATAAAAGTTTCAATAAAAAACATTCAAGGGGAGAACCAACTACAATAGCTATAGTACATTTGCCAACGAGTGGGTAGTGCCCTGATTCTTCTAGTACACTAGCACTTCCAGAATCACAACAAGTAGCTAGCATTTCAAGGGGAACTCAGAAGCAAAACAAACGCAGGAAGAAGGGAGAAGACTATAAAGACTGAATCGCCAAAAGACACATCCCTAAGGCGTGAGAAGCGCGCGCCTCTCAGATGCGCAAAAGGCGTCAAAAAGCGCCGTATAATGTGCGCCTCTTGGAACCTACGCCGCCTGGAGGTGTAAGATGCGATAAAGTGCTCGCCTTAGAGAGCCTAGCGCATTTTTAAACCAAGGTGTGCACCATTCCCGCTTATTTGTAATATATAGTATACCCCCATAGAACCACCTAGTCATACCCACATTTTGCATCTTACTATAGATATCCCTAAGGTAATAGACAGAAGGGCAAAATTCTAAATTCTACCGTCAAATTTATCAACGTTTGAGCAGCTGTGCTACGTCAAAACACAAATCTAGCAATTGTTTTCCACTCACCAGCGAACTTCAGCATAAGAACGACCTTTAAAAAACAAATAATAAATTAATAATAACATAAAATTGTTGGACACATCAACAGTGAATTGGGAAACTTATAAGTCAAGAGATGTTATATTAAGTGACTTCAACATCACTTCGGAAGAGAAATGTTGTACTGCAATTGAGCAGTAATTTACTGCGCCCCAGTTCTAATTAATATTAAGTTCAAACTATCTAGGTTGATTATATGAAGCATAATTAGTTAAACTTTTACTGCAAGTCTGCAATCAAGTACATAAAATAAGATTCTATGAGACTATTAATCAAGTTAATAGTAACTAAATAAGTTAATAATAACTAAATAACTTGATTATTATTATTAATTAATATTGTTTAATTGTCTTTATTTTCTATTTCTTTCTTTCACTTTCCCTCTCTCTACCTCTCGACTCTTCTCCCCATCTTCCCCCCTTCTTCTCCCCTTTCCCCCCTTTTCTTCCCCCCCTCGACTCCCCCATACTGCTCCTGACCCCCCCCCCCCCCTACCCCACGGGGGGTTTGGCGCCACGCGGCGCCAGCGAGGCAGCATAACGCCACCCCGGGCGGCCCAGGACGGCATGGAGGCAGCATAACGCCCCCACCGCCCTAAGCCTAACCTAAACCTAAGCTAGCCTAAACTAAGCCTAAACTAACCTAAGCCTAGCCCTAACTACCTACCTAACCTAAGCCTAATGGCGCCCAAAGAGGGAGCCGGGGCCGGCCCCAAAGGGTGGCCAGCCCAACCCAGCGGGACTTGGTCAGTCCCAAAGGGTGAGTATATCTGCAACTGTACCCTTGTATTTATAGACCCTGCCAGGAGTCGCTCAGCCATCCGGCGTCGGTGTGGGAACCGATTTTAATTAGTGACTGGAATGCTTACTTTCTTCGTTTCTCTTCTTCCTTCTCTGGCTTGGTCGGTGTGGGAACTGATTTTAATTAGTGAATGGAAAGCTCACTTTCTTCGTTTCTCTTCTTCCTTCTCTGGCTTGGCTTCCTTCACCAACAGCTCAGCCTCAGCTCCTTCACCAAGCCCGACGCCGCTAGGATAAGCCGCCGGATTTCGCGTTTGTCCATCGGAGGGATGGCTCTTCAGCTCCTCTTCCATCTGCCTTGCTTCACCCGCCCAAGAACCAGTGCTCCGTCACCTAGAGTGACTCACTCAACTGAGCGAGGAGGAGGATCGAGGCGGCTCAAAGATCATATATCTAATTCCCATTCCAATCATTCATTTTATTCAACATCTAAAATTCATTTTATAAAATCCGCATATCCCCTTTCTAACTTATTTAAGGAATATTTATGTTTCACCCATTTTGACAAAAGTACCTTGATATTATTATTTGAGGTTTCTATTAATACATTACCATTACTAATTAGTTAGACAAAAAAGCGACTAGAATTAAAATATTCAATAAAAAAAACGTAAGCACGTGGAAAGAGCATAAAATAAGGGACCATTCCTGGTGTACACAAAACGAAAATTTTAAAATGCACGTTACATGCTCCTTATGGAGCACGTAGTCCGTACAATTGACACTGGCTCCCACCTAAAAGACTTAAAAATGATTAATGACATCATTAAATTAAGTTTTATTATTAAATGAAAACAGAGTTACCCTAATAAAAATAGGATCTTTCATTCGTATGCATCGGAAAACATATTTGCAGGCTATTCGGTAGAGAAGCTTTCATTCTTCTTCTTAGAAACAAATAACATTGATAAAGTAGGTATGAATCCAATCACGACTAACATGATTAATCCCAATCATATTTCTTATGACAGTTTTGATATGCTTGCAGTAGAATTTACATATATTATTTATCCAACCGTCTTCTACAGAGACGTAGGAGCACATCGAAGGTAATCCATGGACAACGACAACGTAATACCTGCAGATGTAGGTAATATCAGTATTTCATCACTGCATATACAAAATAATGAAGGTTCTTCATCTTGAGTACAATTCAATCAATGCGTTAATCTACTATATTTTTTGTTTATATTTGTTATTGCGTATACCAGACCAAAAATCCTCTTTCTAATCTTTTACGTAAGTTGTAACACTAAAATTATTTGTTCATGTAATTCTTTAACTTCAATTAACATCTACACAGTTGTTAAAAAAATTACACCTTAGTGCAGGTGTAAAAAAAACCACACCTTAGTGTAGTAATCGCTTTTAGAACATATTGTATGCCTAATAATGGTAGGTGTTGGTGATAAAATTTAATGAAAAAAATATGGAAGTCTGTTTCGATGTTTTTATTGGACTAATATTTTCAAAAAAACATCTACTCTGGTATTATATTTTTTGCTAATTAAGTCTGATATGATTTTGTAAACGTATTGTGTTTATGTATTTTACTATTATCAATGTCCAGTGTGATTTGATCCGTTTACATTTTGTCTAATTTGATATGATTAGTCTGCAATTGAAACTAATCCAATTAAAAACATCCCTACTTTTACTTATAATTCAAGATTCTCTGTAATTTAATTTTTTTCGCAGATCTTTTCTTTGAGGAGACGCCTAAATTAGGCCAAGAGTTTCATTCGCTAGATGATGCTCAGGTTTTTTATAATGCATATGCAAAGTTGCTTGGGTTTGGTACTAAAATAAAAAACTCAACTGTTAACAAAGCTGGAGTCATAACATGGAGAGCCTTTACATGCTATAAAGAAGGCCGGACAAATGTGTCTTTGCGGAAGACTAATAAAATTGTCTTTGAAAGAAATAGGGGCCACTCAAGGTGTGGGTGTCCTGCTAAGATGCATGTTTCGAGGAATCGACAAAGCAATTTATGGACCGTGACAGGATTTGAGAAGATCCATAATCATGACCTTGTTAGTCCGAGTAAGATACATTTGATTCGTTCTCACCGAGAAGTGTCATCTTCGAAGAGAATATTGATGAATGAGTGGGGAGATGCAAATATTGAGACACATACTCAAATTCGATTGTTGGAGAACGAAGCTGGAGGTCTATCTACGATGGGTTGCACAGAGACTGATATATATAATTACAGTGCATCATTGAAATCCAAATTTAATGGGATTGATGTGAAAACAATGATTCATGGATTTCAGACTGAAAAGCAAAGGAATTGTGACTTTGTTTACAATTATGAAATTGATAGTCAAAAGGTTCTTACTAGATGCTTTTGGGCCGATAGTGATAGTAGGAATGCATACTTATTTTTTCGGTGAAGTGGTTGTATTTGATACAACATTCAATACAAACAAGTATGGCTTCTATCTTGCTCCCATCGTTGGTGTTAATCATCATCGTCAAACTACTTTTTTCGGTTGTGGTCTGCTAAGTGATCAGTCGACAGAGTCATTTTCTTGGCTACTATCAAAATTCTTGGAAGCTATGGGTCCTAGACCCCATCCAAAAGTAATAATAACTGATCAAGATGCCGCTATAGCTCGAGCAGTGGGTAATGTATTTCCAAATGTATCGCATCATCATTGTTTGTGGCACATACTTAAAAAATTCCCAGAAAAGATGAATGTCTCTAGCTCATCTTATACTGAACTCCATAAAGATTTAGTGGATATTATAATGAGTTCAGAGAGCACAAGTGATTTTGAGCAACGGTGGACTGCCAAACTCTTGTTTCCAGAGTTGCATGATAATAATTGGCTTGCTGATATATATGAAATTCGAGCAAAATGGGTCCCTTGTTTTGTGAAACATATTTTTTGTGTGGGAATGCTAAGTAGTCAGCGCGTCGAAAGCACACATGCTTTTTTTAAAAAGTATGTTAACAAGAAGTGCACCTTGAGCCAGTGTGTGACACGTATTACTCGGGCTATTGTGAGACAGAGGCATAGAGAGCTTATTGCTGATCATCGCGACCGTAATGAAGTTCCTCAGATAAATTCAAGCTATTTAATGGAATGACAAATGGCGAAAATATACACAAAGGCAATATTTTGTAAGTTCCAGAAAGAATTCGACAAGTGTGCTCTTTACACTTGTCACATGATTTCTAGCTCTGCTGAAACTAAGATCTATGATGTCAAAAGATTTGATCTAAGTTCGACTTCTAGCTCTGCGACACATAGACTTACATATAATAGATCCTTGGATTTTGTTTGTTGTAGCTGCCAAAAATTTGAATTTATGGGGATTATTTGCCGACATATTCTCATATGGATGAGAGTTGAGCAGGTGTTGATATTACCAGAGCAATATATTCTTCATCGATGGACAAAAAAAGCAAAGATAAACCCTGTTTATCAGCTTACAAGTAGTTCATTTGTTGGTTCCAAATTGTGGGCAAGGCGGGTGAAGCTAAGGCTATCTGCTTTTCAGGTTGTTGACGTAGCATCCTTAACTGAAGAACGAAGCAATTATTTTGCAGAAGTCTTAAAGGGTGCTATGGATCACCTAGCACATATGGATGACGGGGGAGGGAATACAAACCAACCATCAATATTGTCCTGTCAATTACAAGAAGTTCCTGTGAATGATCCAAAATTACAAAAATTAGAGGTTCAGGTTCACGGCTTAAGCATCCATCTGAAAGGGCTAGACGTTGTGGAAAATGCAAGAAGGTTGGACATAATGCTAGATCATGTCAAGTTTCCCAGCTAGAGAGGTGAAAATTCGA